AATTGGCAGCGCTGGCAAACGAGTTAGAGTAAAGGAGCTCTTTAAGCCTCAGTGTTTATGTAAATGTGGCTTTAACTTTAAACCTCTCGGCTTTGTGGCTGCCCTTTTTATTCACGTTTACTTTTTTCCCTTGGCTCCCCTTGAATATACCACTATGATTTCCAGCTTATCCTTTGGGGAATATATATATGTATTTCATATATTTAGCTAAATGGGCCATTTTCCATCCCTGTTGACCGTTGATGCGTCATCACTGACTGACTCACGCCAGGGAAGAACCCGACCCAATATATTTTCTTTCTAGGTATATATTACACAGCACTACGATTCCGTAAAGCAAGCTTCAGGAGGTAGGTAGCAAACTAATCCCAGAAAAAATAAACTTGTGGAAAGGCACGTGGCGCTGAGACAGGGGCTGCACTGTGCCACCCTCGCAGGCAGCGTTTCTGTACCGCAAATACGACGTCTGCAGGGCAGAGCTGGAAAAGCTCCCGTAGGACACATGAACTGGCATTTTTGGCTCTCACCCTCAAGTTTCCACCTTTCCCGGAGGGGACACTTACTTGAGAGTAGCTTTTGTTAATTGTTACTTATTGCCAGAGTCTACAGAGTCACTTAATAACTGCCTGATGCTGCACCTTCTATCAATGTGCTCACAGCTGTGCCTAAGACACACCATTTGCCCCCAGGACATACTCACAGCACCTCTTTGTCACTTAAAAAACTCTCTAAGCCACGGGGTACATTTACAGCTCACATGTGCCCAGGGTACTTTAAGAGTTGGGAGTTTAAAAATATTAAAATCCCCTAAAATAGTAGGGTCATCAAAAACACGCAGGGGGGAAATTTGGCTGTAAAGCTTCTGTAAGCATTTCCCAAGAACGTGTTTACTAAAAGCACATCCTCAAAACTGTTTTGTGCTGCTCGCTTCGCCATCTCAAGGCGGGAATGGTGCTGCTGCTTCTCGGCAGGAGGTTTCTCCCCTTTCCCAGCTGGGATTTTTGGCTGCAGTGGGGAACAGCCCCACGGCCACGGGGCTCCAACGCACGCGGGACCACGGCTTTTCCCAAATGAGCCTGGCCACAGACTAGCGTTCAAAATACTCACTGGTCGCAGCGCGAGGGAGGGCAAAGATCCTCGTTTCACATTTGCAGCACTAGTGGGTGGCCAGCCCCCCAAGGAGAGGTTCTGTGTCACCGCAGCATCGCCCCTGCACCCGGCCAGGCTCCTCTGCATCCCACCGGCCCCCGAGCACCCTGCTCACCCACACAGGCACGAGGGTGATGCGGGCACCGGGGAAGCGACCGCATCTGCTCTGGGGCCTCACCCAGTCCATGCTGGGCTTGCAACTTCAAAGGCACTTCATAAGAAGCATGTGGAAGGTGTCGATAAGTGGAAGGTGTCGAGAACCCAGCACTTAAAAAAGCAGCAGCAACAGTGACACAGAGGCTGAGATAAGGCACAAAGTGGAGCATCTATGCAAGTTGCTGCAGTTGCAAGCAGATATTAAGCAGAGGGACCGGGCAGCCTGGCAGCTGGCCAAGATACAGCTTCAGATCTACATGGCACTTCTCCTGAGCAATGCGCTTTACCAAGAAAGGCTGTGTCGCGGTCCCTGATGTCCAGAAAGGGAAACTGAGGGGCAGGGAGCAGCGCAGAGACTCGCCCAAGTTCGCTCAGCAGCCCAGCGGCAGAGCCGGCACTCGGATCCAGCTCCCTCCTGGCTCCCAGCCCGCGGCTCTGCCCGCCACACGGCTTCCTCCACCCCTGGGTCACAGACAGCACAGAGCGAGGAGGGAAGACTGCCACAGAGAAATACAACGCTACCAAGGAGAAGCCGTGATGGCGGCAATGAACTGCAGGAGAGACGTTTCTGGGTCTTCCCGTGCTCCCGCTCTCCGGGCAGTTACCTACGCTTTAGCACCGAAACGCAATCTTTCTTCAGTGGCCCGATCTGCAGGTGGGCATCGACGCTCTCCAGGAAGAAGGCTGGTTTCAGCTTGCACAAGAAAAGAGAGGCAAATTGCTGGTTGATCTTGTTCTGGAAGGGGTCAAACTGACCCTTGGCAAAATGGGCGACCTTGAGCTGCTGCAGGCAGGTCATCTTGGAGTCCTTGACTCCGTAGAAGGTCAGGGCCTTCTCTGAATACTCCAGGAAGACCCCAATCGTGTGGAAAAACGGCTGCTGGATGACGGACTCAAAGCCACCAAACCAGGCCACGTAGTTCTGTCCGTTCCACTGCAGGCAGCAGGACTTCTCGTTCCGCCCCAGGCGGCCGCGGTTGTAGGACTCCCGGGGGTCGAAGTCCTCAGCGATGACTCCGATGCTGACCCAGCCGTCGATGAGCTCCACCTCCCAGTAGTAGTTGCCCCGGTTCATGAGGTTCACACCCAGCACCTGCTCGCAGTTGATGAACCGGGTCGGGCTCTCCGGGTAGGGGATGGGGCACAGCACCCGCTTGGCCCCTTTGGTGCCAAACAGCTGGATGAACTTGTCGGCCGTGTCACTGTCCAGGTCAATGATGAAGGCAACTGTGTGGGGCAAGAAGGAGACATGAGGATGAGGAACCCCCAGCCCTCCCCGCTCTGATCCCCTGCTCCAGCCTTCGGCGATTAGCACGATCCTTTCTGACTTCCACCATCACTCTGTCCCCTTGCTTTTACATCTCACGGCCAATTTCAGCTGATGAGGATAAGAGGCTGAAGGAGTTGATACTCATAAGCAGGACGAATACAGGCAACTGGGCAGAGGAGAGAGCGGAGGGGCTGCTCGATGAACTCAACCATGATATCAGACATTGGAGAATGTAGGCAGAGTGGCAGCAGCAAAGTCCCATGTAAAAGCAGGTTTCAGGCAACCACGGACAAACACAGCAGAGAGGGACCCCAAGAAGACAGGAGAACAGCCAGGCACATCATGGCTACAAAACCACTGCTCCCTGCGGACGGCTCTCGCTGCCCTACGGCTCCCGCGGGAGCAGAGGCAGCCCCCAGCGTGCGGAGCCACATGAAAACCACTGCTGGATCCCAAACAGAGGGGATGTCCGGCAGGAACAGCCCTGGACACGTATCGCTGACAATTGCCGTGCAGGTCCGAACCCACAGCGTGTCCAAACCCTACGGCAGCGGCACAGCACGCCCCACTTGAGCCCAGGCTTTGCTGCCCGGCTCCCAGTGGGGTGCACTGGTGCCACCGAGGCAGACCTTGTCCCCTATGGACATCTCAGTAGGTGACCCCACATCCCCTGTAAGGCTGTGGGGGAACGCGCGGGGTGTTGGAGCCCAAGCCCAGCCTGTGCCCTCCAGCCTCAGCCCCTTCTGCCCCACTGTCTCTGCTCTGCCACTGAATTACCCCTCTGCTTGCTGCCGCTGAAGCTGACCCTCATCAGACCGCTGCTCTGCGGCAAGCAGGGCAGATGCACAAACTCTGATCTAATTTAGTGGAGGATCCAATTCGTCAAGGGCTGGAAGGCAGCAGAAATTACACTGTATGCCTGCAGCCCCCCTGGCAGCTGGTCCAGCAGAACCACAGCCAAGGGAAAAAAAGTATCACCTAAACAGATTATGACCGTTGTTGGGAAAGCAAGGAGGCTTCCTCGTTAGCTGAGCAATATTTCCTCTGGTGGCGGCAGTGCTCCTGCCAGCC